TATATATATATATATATATATATATTAACAGGACTGTCAAACTTGTAAAAAGGCACAGTAGTAAAATCCAATTTAAAATAAATCGATATCGACTATCGATAGTAGATTAGTCGATTTGTAGCAGCTAAATAGAAACGATCATTGGTTGATACTTTAGCGTGTTAACGATTTGATTGGCTTTTTAAGATCAAATGATAATGCTTAGTTTTTCAATTACGATAATGTTTAATAATTTGTAAGAAATAATAATTTCCATTATAAACGAATGATAATCCAAGTAAAATAATAATAATATGATTTAAAAATGTAATTTATTAAAGCCTCGTTCTTAGGAAGAATTTGAACGTCTGAATAAAGCTTATTGTTTTCGCGGGCAGAGTAGTTGAGTGTGCGCATGCGCGTATCGCGCGCGACAACAAAATAAGATGGCCGTGCAACGAAACAAATAGAGCGCCGTCGTAAATAACAAACCGTCCTATCACGCTTCTAACGAAGATATTTGTGTACAACTCCTTCGTGTAGGATTGTAGCGGCTGTTTAATATCGAATAATTTCTTCTTAGTTTTAAAAAAGACGATTAGTGTAAAAAAGCTTTGATGAGTTTTTGTGAATAAATTAAAAGGCGCGTGGAGCGTTCGTAAGAAACCTCGGCCTCGTTATATGCATCACGCGCGTGCACGAGGGTACGTACGGTACGTCCGTGCGTACGTGCGTACGTGCGTGCGTACGTGCGTAAGTGCATAAGTGCATCTTTGAGAAATTGTTAGGATTATAAAAAAAGTGGATACGATATTCGATAATCGTCATCGCCAGGATGCAACCGCATGGGGAGGCCAAGCGTCATTCCCGTCGCCGTCCACGGTTCGCCTAGCTCCTCATGCTAGTCTCCTCTTCCAAATTGCTTGTAGCACAGCATGAAGGAGATGCTTGGAGGGTGCTGTGTGTGTTCTGATGAGAGGGGTTGGACCGAGAATCCGCTGGTCTATTGCGATGGACAGGGATGTACTGTCGCTGTACACCAAGGTTTGTTACATACAGATTAATTTTTTATAATGATTATATTTCATTATAGATTACAATAATATTATTTTTATATTCACAGCGTGCTATGGCATTGTTACCGTACCAACAGGACCTTGGTATTGTAGAAAATGTGAATCGCAAGAAAGAAGTGCACGTGTGGTAAGTTTACTTTATTTTTGACATTTCTGTCAATTGTCAAAATGTCACAACATCAATGTCAAAACATCACATTGAAATCATTTAAAAGATATTGTTCTATGTATATATCTAAAGATGATGATGAGAATTGTGTTGTTTGTATTATATCCAAAATATAATATATGATCTTTTTTAATGTATAATATTTTATCAGCGCTGTGAATTATGCCCGAGCAAAGATGGAGCGCTCAAAAGGACGGATCAAGCTGGTTGGGCTCATGTTGTATGCGCTCTTTATATTCCAGAAGTGCGCTTTGGCAATGTTACAACAATGGAACCCATTATATTACAGCTTATACCTTCTGAAAGATTTAGTAAAGTAAGTATAGTAGAAATATCTAACTATGTATTTGTAATATTATTCTGAGATAAGAAATATGTTTATATCTATTGTGATTATTATTTCAGTCTTGTTATATTTGCGAAGATCAAGGTAGAGGAAGCAGAGCAAATGTTGGAGCTTGTATGCAGTGTAATAAAACAGGCTGCAGGCAGCAATTTCATGTTACCTGCGCTCAAGCTCTTGGTTTACTTTGTGAAGAAGCTGGCAACTATCTTGACAATGTCAAATATTGTGGATATTGCCAGCATCATTATTCAAAATTGGTTGGCGTTATAGTGCTTTCATTATAATTCTTTTTTCTTGTCTGTTTGATTTATTTACATTAATGTTAAAACTATATTTGATTTGTAGAAAAAAGGTGGTAATGTTAAAACTATACCACCATATAAACCTATACCTGCTGACAATGGATCATCAGATTCATCTCCTGAAAAGGAAGCCGAGACTCCTATAAAATCATCATCAAGTAGTAAAAGGAAAGGATCCAGTTCAAAATCAACTACAAATTCTAAAAATAAGTCTAATACTAGTCCAAACGTAGAAATAAATGGTGTTACCGATGACACCAAGAGTAACAGTGGTCGTAATACTCCCAAAGATGGTTCTGCGAATACTGGAAAATTTACGACATCAAATTTTGTAGAAACTATTGTTACACAGTCAGAAAGCGTATTTGGACACGATGGATCTACTTCAGTGACTGCAGCAACCGCTGTTACAACTGCTAATATAAAGACGAGTTCTAATTCGAATTTGATTCATAAAAATAGTAATCAAACAAAATCTAATTCTTCACAATCCAATAAGGGTTCAAGTCATACAAGTAAACGAAGAAAGACTGGTGCGCGTACACCAACTGTGATAGGAAATGAAAATTCAAATCAATCTGTCAGTTCTGAAGCCAGTGGATCTGTAGTAGTAGCTGTTAGTTCAGTAGTTCAGCAAACAGTTTCAAGTAATAATAATGTACAACCTACTATAACTGAAGCCACTAGTCTTAGTACAACAACTGAGCCTGAAAGAGTAAAAAAGGTAACTTAACTTTTATCAATCTATAAGTTTCAATTTTCTATCATGAAATTTAATAAAATCAAATATTTAATAAGTAGTTTATAATTTACAGTTAAAAATCGACAGTCCAATACAATCTGCATCTAGTACTCCAGTTACTACAGAGGCAACAACTACACCTGTGATAATGTCAGTAACGCAATCTCAATCATCAACATCTATTCAATCACCAACAACTACATCGAATAGTATAGTTGTTTCTGTTCCTTTAACTGCTGCATCTCTTTCTGGTACTGCCCAAAGTGTAGTAACAAGTGCTCCTACGTTGTATCAACAATTACAACAAAGTATTATTACTACTGCAGCTAACACCGAGCCAAGATCGAGTATCATGCCAAGTACTGAGAGGTTTAACTTAGAAGAAGCTCCTACTAAAAGATCTCGGTAAGTATTAAAAATAATATATACGTAAATGATTGTATTTTATATATTTAATGAAAATTTTATTTTATTTTATTTTATTTCATTTTATTTTATTTTTTTTGAAAAAGAAATCAAAATATCCATAAATTCAAATATATTGTTTCAATATATTTCCATAAACAGTAAATTTGAAAGCACAATTGATTAGATTATTTGCATATACGATTTACCACTAGAAAACATATTAACATTTTATATTTATTTTGAAATTATTTTTATATAGAGCCTTGAATATTCCACACGTGTATCAAGTGTTAAATAATAGATATTTTTCAATGAGTTAACGAAATTGTAAAATATTGATAACTATTTAAAACAAAAATTAAATTTAACGCAAATTTTTTAGGAATATATATAACAATAGGAATTTTCGAGTAATCTAAGCGCGTTCAAAATGGCTGCCACGAGGAGTAAACAATCAGGTCATTCTAACCTCTTTACGCGTCCTAGTCTATTCCCTTTTTTATTTTCCGTCTGTTTCAGTGAAAAAGTGTTTTTTTTAATGTGAAATTTGTTAAAAAATAGTGTTTAATTATAAAAGACGCACGAATATACAATACAAAGTGCAAGGGAATAATTTGCAAACAATTATATGTTTATCTAGTGATCTGATTCGTGTGTTCGAGCACAATGCTTCACTCGAGGTCACTTAAAAATTATCTATTTTATCATTTTATACGATATTAGAATTGTTAAATTTTGTTGAAAATAGAAATAAGTGTGTTTAGAACAATGAAATTGTTCCATAACAGTTCTGAATAAGTTTATTTAGTGAAACGTTTATTGCGAGGTTATGTTTATTTTTCCCACTCTAAGAAGCCTGATGGGCAACGAACGGAGGAAGGGTGTAACGTGAATTCAAAACGGTAATAACGAACAGTTGTTGTATTTGAACATTCTATCTGGATATATTAAATATAAATCAATGAGAGTTATTAAGAAGTTAGTAGTTATATGTGCTCATAATTATGAAAGTGGTCTAGGTCATATATCTTTTGTTTTGAGATATTTAAAGAATTATATTTGAACATTAAATGAGTTCTATATAATATTGAAATAATAAATACTACCTATAACAGTTATTTACTATAAATTGTACTTATTCCTCCTAGTATAGTTTATTATTGGATTTCATTATTTTCTAGATCTCAATCTTCGGACAAAGATAAAGTTCGTAAACCAAAACGTGGGTCATCTAATAGTCAACCAGCATTAGCACAAACACAGCCACAATCTCAAGCTCAATCACAGCTACCGATATCATCAATTGCAACATCAGTATCTAGTAGCGCAGTTGTTACGACTTCTAAAAGAGGTGGAAGAAGCAATCATCAAACATCTCCGCCAACTGTATCAGTAGCACCTGTCCCTTCAATAATACAAGGTCCTTCGTTAGTAACTAGCGGCCATTTTAGTAGTATTGGATCCGTGGGCTCGATGGGTCCTACTGTTAAAGATTCACCTCCCAGTAGTCCAGGTTCTGAAAGTATGAGTAGCAGCGGGCCAGGACGTCGTAAAAGAAAAAGTACTTGTCCAGCATCTACGACACCTACACCACCTGCATCTAGTACACCTACAACTATAACGAATAATACTAAAGAGGAAAAAGATATTAAGCTGTAAGAATTCTAAAATTGATATTATTGATACTAAAATGTGATATTCATTTATCAAATTCTATTACTCAATTTTTATCATGTGTAGATTTCAAAATGGAGTTAGTGCGCCTCATATGTTAGGAAATCAATTGAATCCAACTTCAACGATGGCACAAAAGATGTCTGATACGTTATCACAAGAATTAGAGGCTCATTCTATTTTTACAGAAGCAAATAATTCAGCGGCAACTTTAGTTGGTCCACAATTACACAGTCGTGTAATAGCCTCTGTAAGTTTCTTGTAAATAATAATAGTAATGAATGTTCTTTATTTTTGAAATGACATAGTAATCATATTTATTTTTTTCTAAATAGATACGATCGAATCAAACAACTACGGCACCTACCTCTTTTTCATCTGTATTTTCAACAAACAGTAATACAAATATTAGTACTGCAAGTTCCGGAACGTTAGGTAGTGGAGCAATTCCACAAACGTTAGATCAATTGTTAGAAAGACAATGGGAACAGGGCAGTCAATTTTTAATGGAGCAAGCACAGCACTTTGATAGTGAGTGTATGGCAAGAAAAAACATTATTATACTTTCATTATTGGTTCTTTGAGTTTTTTTCTTTTTCAAACATTTTCATCTTATTTTTTAGTTTTTTAGTTAGATTTCATCTAACTAAATTTTGACTATTTTTTGCATAACAATGCTATTTACTTATACATATATATATATATATATATATATATATATATGTAGTATGTATTTATAATGAAATATTATTACAGTTGCATCATTACTTTCGTGTCTTCATCAGTTGAGAGCTGAAAATGTCAGATTAGAAGAACACGTAAATAGTCTTTTACAGAGGAGAGATCATTTATTAGCAGTGAATGCGAGACTAGCAATTCCTTTAACAACTCAAACGAGTACACATCCAGGTAAGTACAAAAAAAAAACAATACTAGATTAAATAATTTCGAATATTATTTGTCTATTTTTGTTGGTTTTTTAATTTTGTGAAAAATATTTGCAGCGAATAATGTACATCCAACGGTTAATCCACCACACGCTAATGTCGCCCATCCTGAGGTACCATCGGGAGCATCTGGAGCTGCTGTACCTAGAGTTAATCGAGAAACTCGCGTGAATAATACATACATACCTCATTCTAGTTCCGTAAACCATCCAACTACATTAGAAAACGGATTGCCACCGGACCCCTCACCACCTGCAGCAGCATCCCTATCTCAGTATCAACACAGAGGATCTTTGGTTGCTCCACAACCGAGTCCTACAATAAGGTAGCATATCTCTCCTATTATCTGGTAATGTAATTATGGTTATTTTAAATAGAATATTTGTTTGTTTGTTCGTTCGTTGACGGTAACAATATTAGACATAGTCCAGCAACTAGTGGATATTTACAAGGACAGCAAAGTAACATTGTATCACCTGCCACAGCTAGTAACTCGGGAGTTGTAAGAAATTCTTCAGTAACACCAGATCCCTTACGTGGTGTTCCTCGGTACGTTAAAGAATAATAAAAATAAACTTTTCTCATGATTTAAAAAAATCTTTACAAAAGAAATATAATTAACATTTTGATATATTTTTTGTTTTTGTTTTGATATTAGATCAGTTCCGCAATCATCAAGTAGTTATATGCCATCGATGTATCAATCAGCAGTGTCAACTCTTCCTAATCATCAAGTAGGTAGCGTTCATAATCTTCATTCACATGGACCTTCCCCAACTAACCATGGACCTCCGGGTAAACCTAGCTGAAGGTAGATGCTATTACAAAGTAAAGAAAAACTTTCAGCATCTGTAAAACGTGATAAAAACATAGGCTAGTTAATATGTTCGATCGTGTTTTATCGTTAGTAGTGTATTTTAAAGGTAACAGGTATAGAATTTTCATTTCTTTTTCGTTTTATTTTTGTTTTGTTTCGTTTTGTTTTATTCATTATGAAGAGTCGAACTAATTGAATTTTATTCCTTTAATTCTTGACTTGATACATGTTTGTTAGTCTCTACTCAATTATCAAAATTTTGTTTATCAACGAATAATAGAAATTAACAAAAATTCATGTTTAGTATGTTCACGTGTTGTATGTATCACGACAGAAAAATACATTAGTATAATTTATATTAATTAAAATTTTATAAAATTGGTAAATATATTTGTTTATCTACATTTGAGATATAAAAACAATTGCAGGAAATTACTGAAACTTTTGTAAAAGAAGTTGCTCTGTCGAGACGCATTTCAACTATGAACGAAATTAAGAATTCTATTCAAAATGATCATGATTATTGTATGATTATTCAATTAAATAATTAGTTGTCGATAGAAGGACACATCAATTTTTCTTGGTTTTTCTTGGTCAAGCACATATGAGACAATCAATCTCAGAGTGTTGACATCGTAAAGGATCATCAGCAAAATCCATAGATGTACAAACGTTGTAGACTATAAGTTAAGCTATCGCGATAAATAGCAATAATATGATATAGATGTACATTTTAATTAGGATTAAAGAAAGAAAGAAAGAAAGAAAGAAAGAAAGAAAGAAAAGAAAATGATAAGAAATAAGAAAAAAAAAGAAAGAAAAATGATGCAATAAAGAAATTATAACATTTCTGACAAGAAAAATAAAAACGTGATTTATGTAATATTAATATAATGTTAAATGAAAAAAGTATTTCACACATGGTCATTTAATTTAATTAATCATTATTGACGAACTTTCTTTATTGCATCATCAAAGATTTTCCACTAAAACGATGTGTGTGGATTGTGTATAGTATAATAATAATAATAATGTATATACAACCTATTTCAAAGCCACATTATTATAATGTATATTTTAAACTAAAGCATAAAGCATAACAAAAAAAAAAAATATTGTACAACACGAGCACTGCCTTCCACCGAAAAGAGCTATGAAATAGGTTGTTGTTTGTACGAGATTGCCATTATTTGTTTTATTATATTAGTTAAAAAAAAATACATGATTAGTGTATTACGTTTCATAGATATTTGAATTTTGTTAAAAAATTATTATATTATTTTTCTTTTTCGTTTATTCTTTCGTAAATTCATTTCACGAACTTATATCTCTATACGTCATAAATTAATACATTTGATGATTATTTGTTAAACTACATAAAAAAAAAAGGAACATAAGAAATATGGACTATATTATAAAAATACTGTGCTCTCGTGATTTATAAATTTGCTACGATATTCGTCTAATCTGATATAATAATAATAATAATAATACTACTAATAATAATAATAATAATAATTCCAGAAATCTTTTGAGATGGTTCTATACATTGGAAGAGAGGCGTATTATTAGTAAGATATACTTATAACGTTTATGATGAAACTTTGTGTATTGTATACTGAAAAAAAAAACATTGAATATGCATTTGATCTTACTCTCATAAGATTTTGGAAAAGAAATTGATAAATATAAGTTTTAGTTCAATGAAATTTGTTTAGAACGTGTACTCGGTTGATTATGATGAACATATACCAATCTTTTTATCTTAAGTTTATTATTATTATTATTTAACAATATTTTCTTTTAAATATTTTTAAACTTATATATATATATAATATCTATACGTGTGTGTATTATTTGAAAAATATTGAACAAATTTTTGATAAGATTAAAAGAAAGAAAGAAGAAAAACAAATATTCATCATAATCCCAAGAACATGATAAAGACTTTAATTGGAAACTCTTTAAAAAAAAATGAGTTTCGTTTAAAAATTAGGTAAATAATAAATGAGTTTAGAAAATAATTGTATGGAAACTAAAACCAAATCGCGTTATATACTACCTATGAGTTATGACTGATATTTAGCTGTAACGTGTTCTAATTTTAATTTAAATCTTTTTATTGTGTTCAAACAGGAAAAAAAAGTATTTTTTTTTCTTTTCTTTCCTCTCTTTCTTTTTATTTTTTTTTTTTATTTTTAAATTTAAATTTAAGTTAAATATAACAAATTTAATCGTCTCGTTTTTAAAAACAATTTTTGTTGTTGTGTGTTCTTTTCGAATTAGAAAGAATTTAATTAACAAATGCGATTTAGACGAGAAACTGAGAGAAATTTCGTTTCTAAGCGAGTATATGAACTTCGATCATAAAAATCTTTTACGATTAAAAGATTATGTAATTATTAAATATTAATAATTGAGGAAAAAGAATAGGATGGAAAAAATTAGTACGTATGGAAATAAAAAAAAAAGAAAAAAAAAAGATAAATGAAAAATAGACGTCGAAACACCAAATTTATATAAATAGCTCATCACCACTCAGGGAAATCATCGGTTTACTACTCAACATTCTATCGAATTTTCTTTCAAAAACATCGATCGTGCAGACATTTTTTTTATTAAAATATCCAAAATTCGATTGACATATTTATAAGTTATAAAAACATTTATAAACATTAAACAGTTTTGCTTTGATATTGTAAACCTGAATTATTTACAAATGAATATAACAATCGTTTCTATTATCGTATTAATACAAAGTAAATACTTGTATTTTATTGAAATAAATGCATGATTGATCATTTGATTGAAAATTCATTAGGATTTCTAAAAATATAGATTAAAAGAAAAAGAAAAAAATATTTGAATATGCATAAACGAGAGTAATAATTTCCGTATAAGAAAACAGAAAAAACAATGTCATCGCGTTTGTACTAATGAAGAAAAAAAAATATTTTATGCGTCAGTAATAGTAATTATATTAATATTAAATATTTAATTATATGCGCGGATAATAATAATATCCATTATATAAAAAACTAAAAAAAAAAAACAACATACCGAATAAAATGGAGAGAAGAACAGAAAAGAATTGAAATTAAAAAGACACAAGGAAAAAAGACGAAAATAATTAAAAAAAAAAAAACTAGACAAGGAGGGGGTTGGCGCAACGCGTACGCGTATTACCAAAAAAACGAAAAAGAAAAAACAAAACAAAAATATGAAATTCATAAAAATACTTAATTAAAATAAAAAAGACAATGCGAGTAGGGTCAACTATGTGAATGAGAGGAACAACAAAAAATCTACAGAGCACTGCGACGATATTTTTACATAGATGATGATGATGATCATGATGATGATAATGATAATGATAATGGTAATGGTAATGATGATGATGATTATGATGATAGCGAGGATGATGAACGTGCCAAATGTTTTTGCTATCGAATTACCAAAAATTTCCTAAAAAACTTCTGATAAATTTATGTTGGCGGTTATAAATGCGTGTAACGTATGGATAAGATTAATCTTGTTCGATTTTTACTGCGATTAAGATTTAAACAAAAGAAAATTAAAAAGAAAAAGATAAAAAAAAAGATTACAAAAGTAAAAACAAGACAATGTCAATGTCTGCGAAATTGTTTCGACGTTTAAGTTTTTCTTTTATCGCATGTTATTATTATTATTATTATTATTAATATTATTATCATCATTATTATTACTATTATTATTATTATTATTAGTTATTATTATTTTATTATGATTGTATTCTTATTTTATTACTATCATTAGAATATAATAATTATTAATCTCCTACATATTATAAACATTAAATATAAAGATAAAAGTTTAGTAATTTTAGTTTCTCTAACACGTGTTCAATCTTATAGAGGAATAAATGTGGACGAGTTCCTAATATCTTTTTCGAATTAGATATGTATATTAGAAAGAAGAGTATCTCTATACTCTTAGCACGCACATTTTTCATTATTATACTTTCAATTACTCCTCTCACACTTTGTTTATTTTATTTGATTTTTTCTTTTCTTATCCCTTTTTTCCACTTTTTTATTTCTTACTTTTGTCCATCTATTTTATAGGAAATTTCTTCTCTTTCCTTTCTTTTTTTTTGCTTTGTTTGTTTGTTCGTTTCATTTAATTTCATTTAATTTCTGACAAATTAAGCAAAAGCACCTGAACAAAAATATTTGATTAAAAAAAAGAAATTCTTACGAAATATCTCATCTCATTTTTGATTGAGAAGATAAAAATATTGTTCGCGTGCGTACCGAGATATATTAAACACAATATATCTGTTTTATATAAACGTGTGTAAGTCAAATGTATGGGATTGTGTGCATCTGAGTGTGTTGATAATTATATTATATTATTAGCGTATATAATATGGTGTGTGAGAGGAAGGAGAAGAAGATGGAAATTGCTGTATCTCTTGAAAAAACAAAAAAAACAGAAAGAAAAAAAACCAAAAAAAAAACCAAAACCTTTGACACACGAGAGTTAAGTATTTGACGATAAATCATTCGTTTAATGGAAAACTAATTTTTCGTATTGCTGCTCGACTTTATTTTCATTTTCATGTTCATTTTCATTTTCATTTTCATTTTCATTTTCATTTTCATTTTCATTTTTATTTTTATTTTTATTTTTAGTTTCCACGAAAGAGATGTGAGAAAAATGAAAGAAATATTAACAAAAAAATATACATATATATATATATACATAATAATAGTAATAATAATATTATATATATATATAAATATAATAAAAAAAAAGGAGCAGCGTTTATATTAAATATAAGTATACATATATGTATGTGTATATGTATATGTATATCACATTAAGCTGTTCTGTATCAAGGTCTCGATTTTCTACGAAATAGACGATACAACAAATTGTTATACCTAATGCTAACGTTTTTGATACGATGTGTTTTTAAAAAAAGAAAATAATAAATAAAAAATTATTTAAAAATCAAGACAAAAAAAAAGTGGAAGAAAATTTAAAGAACGCACGAGCGAGCGAGCGAGCGAGATGAAGAACAAGAGTGTGTGTGTGTGTGTGTGTGTGTGTGTGTCTGAGAGAGAAGAGATGTTTGTTAAAAAAACAAAACAAACAAAATAATGAAAAAAAGACAGAGAGGAAAAGGGGTGAGAACATTTTCAAGAATGTGTTGTTGTTTTTCTAATGCGTGTGTTCTTTTCTATTTTCTATTTCCCTACTTTTTTTTCAATTGCAAAAGAATTTTTTTCTTTTCATCAAAAAAAAAGAAACAAACAAACAAAATTAGATAAATAAATGTTTGTAAATTATTTTACAGATGAATAATATAATACAGGGATAAAATAATAATAAAAATGAAATGTGGCTGGCAAGCAGCAATTATTATTTTGTATCGAACATTCGTATGCAGACACACACACGCCTAGACTTTTGTCTATAATAATTAATAATTACTTTATATTATACAGAGGTATATAGAAAAGATCATTTTTCTCGTAAGAAAAAAGAAAAAAGTCTGATCATCCACTGTTGTGTCTCTCCCCATCATAAGTTTAACCAACCGAGGAACTTGGACGATCTATGATACCGATTTTTCTAATGTAATTTGTGCATATGGACAAGCATGTAATAAAGAAGGCTAAGTGATTAAGTATACATTCGAAATCCATCGATTATTTATAAGTCAACCCATACTATTTTTTTCTTTTCATCTATGTATTAATATTATTATTTGCATTGAATTAAATTAACGAAATGTAATGTATAAAGTATATATATATATATAAAATATC